CAATTTCTTTGTAATAGTAAATAATAGTTTTAGTAATATCTTGCACCTGACTTCTAATGAATCTAAAATTTAATAGACACACATCCTAACAGAATATCTTCGTAGATTAGTTTTCTTGCTCTTCAGCTTTGAAGTCTGATAAAAGTTTTCATTATAGTCACCAACTGGAAACATCTCACTTTGTGTTCTGTGAGGTCAAACATGATACCAAAGACAATAAAGAGGGATGTTTCCATTTTGTTTTACTTTTAAAATGTCCCCAATACCCTTTCCAAGTTATCTTGATGACTATTATATATTATTATTTTGAATGTCTGGTTTTGAATCTCAGATATGCAACTCATCATATAACTTCAAACATACAGTAACAGAGTAAAAGGAAACTCAAGTTCACCTTATATTATGTGAACACAAGAGTAATCTCTGTTGGCTTTTCCTTTGCAGGTAGACTTTATTATAATAGTGTACTCTAATTAATCTATAGGATTGACATAAACATAAGAGAGCAGAAATATTCCCTCAAAGTTCATATATATATATAATACACATAGATGTATTTATACATACATGTATGTAGATATATGTATATGTGTATATCCTAACAACTAAGTCTGTATTTTGCCACAGTGTCTTCAGTAATTAGGAACCAAATCAGTGAAATTCATTCAACTTCTAAATCTGAAATTGGCCACAGCTGAGAGGGCAGTAATAATAGTGGTAAATGGGTATTGAGAAAGGTTATAAACAGTATTTACAATCAAAAATGTTCTGAAGGAAAGAAAAGATTCATTGGAACATAAATATAAATTTTGTTCTATAAATGACATCTGTTACTCGATTGATTAAAAAAAAGTTGATCAGTGTCGTATGAAATTTTGCATGCCTTTTTTCTGATTAAAGAGATCATGAGTAATATCTCCATCTCCACTTAAATAACCCCCAAATATTGATGGTTTATTGATCCTATTTTAAGTGAGTCTGATAAATAACAATTGAGTAAGTGATTATTAGAAGGCTTAATACATTTTACGGCTGAAAAGCCCATTCCTTTTTGCTGAGTTCTCTATTCCCAAATTTAAATTATTTTCTCTTTTTGTATTATCTATAGAAAAAAGAATAACTGTCAGTTTATTAAATTATATGGATAATAATTAAATAAAACAGCCCTGGTTACTACTGAGTTCTCATAATATATTAAATATGGGGTCAGTTGTTTACTCATTAACAAATTTGATTCTCAGATCAATCATATCTACAATCATACCTACTGTCATATCTACAGGTTCTACTATTCCAATTTTATAGATGTGAAACTGAGGCTTAGAAAGTTTAGACATCTGATAATACCAGGACCAGGAATTGACTGACTGCAAATACTTTTACTTTTCTTTTCAAATTCTMCCCCCCCCCCCGCCCCATTATCTATCTATAGGTTGAACATCTTTTATCTGAAGTGCTTAGGAGCAGATGTGTTTCCCATTCCAGATATTTTTGGATTTTGGAATATTTGCATATACATAATAAAATACCCTGGGGATGGGACCGATGTTTAGATGCAGAATTCATTCATGCTTCATATTCACCTTATACTAATAGCCTAAAGGTATTTTTATACAATATTTTTAGTGCACTTTTTTTTTTTATTATTATTGCACTTTTTGACTGTGATCTGCCTCATGAGGTCAGTGTGAAATTTTCCACTTGGGATGTGATGTTGGTATTTGGATTTTAAAGAATTTTGAATTTAGGATTTTCAAATTAAACATCCTCAATTTGTATATATATGTGTGTTTGTGTGCATGTGTGCATGCATGTGTGTATGTATATACACATGTAGGTGCTTAAAAATTAAACTCACACCCCTTTTCAACATTTTTCTTTAATAAAAAAATTAATTATAGTATACTCAGAGTACATTTTATCCATATTTATACTTAATAAGGTACACCCGAAAAAGGGCAAAAAAAATGCATTCTGCCTATGAAAAGATAATTCATCCATTATGGATTATCCTCCAAGTGGAGTTTAAAACACCCATATAACTAGCCAGATTTAACAACCATTGCAATTTGAATTCAAATCCTGATCGTACTTCTCACTCCTTCAAATTTTAATAAATCTACTGTGAAATTGAAGAAATCACTTTAGACAGCCTGTAACCAAGCCCAAATTCTTGTTTCCTTCTCTTTCTCCTTTAGTTGGACTTACATGCCTGGGCCCAGAGCTGCAGAGCAGCCAGTCTCCCAGACAGAGACAGGGTGCACCAGGTAGGTGACCATGCACAGGAGGCAGGACTGCATTATCTACAAGCCTGGCCCACACCCCACTTCCTCACCCTCATCAACCAGATGACTCTTCTCTTCATGGAAAAGACAGTGAAAGGTGAAGGAAAGAGTGGACAGTTTTTCAAGGAAACTCAAAGCTCTTCTCTGGGGAAAGCAGCATCTTTGGGTGAATAAAAACATATTTCCCAGTAGGAATTCAAAAGTTGCATTCTTACCAGATTCAGAAGTTTGCGATTGCTCTTGTCACTAGATAGCACTTTGCATAATGATCGGATAGAAATTCTCAAGAGTCAGACAACAAGAGTTCAAATGCTACCTATGCTGCTTCCTACCTTAGGTACCTACATATCTGCGAGTCTCAGTTTTTCATCCCTACTGCTTGGAGTTTCTGTTGATCTGAGGAAAAGTTGTATGTGGAACACGATATTTTTTTGATTAATTATTTTTATTTATATATGACAGCAGAATGCCTTACACATATAGAGCACAATTTTTCATATCTCTGGTTGTATACAAAGTATATTCACACTAGTTCGTGTCTTCATACATGTACTTTGGATAATAATGTCCTCACTTTCCACCATCCTTTCTATCCCCATGCCCTTTCCCTTCCCCTCCCACCCTCTGTCCTATCTAGAGTTTGTCTATTCCTCCCATGCTCCCCCTCCTTATCCCACTATGAATCAGCCTCCTTATATCAGAGAAAATATTCGGCATTTGGTTTTTTGGATTGGCTAACTTCACTTAGCATTAACTTCACTTAGCATTCCTCTAACTCCATCCATTTACCTGCAAATGCCATGATTTTATTCTCTTTGAGCACAATATTTTTGATAGTGATGAACATCCAACATTCAATATATATGTGCTACTCAATTAATATTAACTTAGAAGCATGAGGCTTAATTAAGTTCAACTAATATATTTTAAATTTTGATTGTAAGTTGCTTGATATTGTTTTATTTACTACTTTCCAAATCCTATGTGCTAGATTCTGTTTTCTGTAATCTTAAAAAGTGCATCAGAAGCTCAGAGAGATTAAATAGAACCAGGCCAAGAAGCAGAGCTGGAATTCAAACTCATATCTGCCAACTTGGTCTAGTGGGCCATACCCAGCCCCATTCACTCATTATGTTTCAGTTTCTTAGTTCCTGAATCAGTCTTGTAGAAAGAGTATGATGTAGTATAAATAAGCACTTGCAAAAATCCCTGTGAGTTAGGAACATACTTCCTGAATAAAAGCAGTCTCCAAACATTGTTCTCGTCAAGGATATGTCTATAATTCTGCCTCAACAATTTGATTGCCTCCAGGGATACAAAGATAACTAAGATCATCTTTACCCCGGAGGAACTTTCAGTTTAGTAGGTTAAATGGACAATGATAAACATTCTAACTTTGCTACAAAATCCATCATAAGTGCCACATCTCTTGCCAAGATTTTTCTAATTTTTTTTGAGTTGCACATATGTAAGGGAAATCTTAAATCTCCTAAAGTTTTACTTATCTGTCCCTTTATATCTTGAATCCTCAGGGTCATGAATTGGTGCTATTTTTATATATTTGCTACAACATCATCTTTCACAGAACCTGACCCCTTGAAAATACTTGTTAAATTGAATTCAATATAAAAGATTTTGTTCACAAGATCGTTTTAGGGCCAAGAAAACAACGACCAGAAAAGAAAAAAAAGTAGTAAATCAGCTAAAATCTGGGCTAATACACTTTAAATTAACTTATCAAACTAGGAAGGAAGTGACTACAACAAATAAAATGATTCATCTGTGATAAAATATTCAACAAATGAAAATTATTACAGTTTTGGGAATTAACTATGAGTTTCCTTTCTTCTAAGGTCGTATTCTGAAACCATCTCAATTTTGTACTTGGGGCAGGAAGTGCATTTATCATGGAACTGTTGATAGGTTTAACAATGGGGAATGGGATGGTGATCTCAGTTACTCCCACTGGGAATGAGATTGCTTCATAAAAAACTAAAGTGAACATTCTGGTTTGTGGAAGAGAGGAGCCAGCGGAAAGTCAAAAGCATTGTGTTCCAGGTTCTGTGCRGTCCCACAGCTTTGAAAAAATCAGGGGTCAGCTGTAACCTCTACACATGAAGGGGAGTGCAGGGGAAGCAGTAGCTCCTGAGAACATGAATGAACTCTGAAATGGGAAATTTCACTTCTCTAATGATTCATGCTTCCTGAATGGTGATAATACATGTGCTTATTGTAGGACGCATTTTCATCACAGCTGTCAGTGGGATGCTCACATATGGAGTAGCTGTGTAATAGATCACCGTGTGTATCTATTTACTCCAGAAGAATTATAAGAAATATCTCAAAAACTCATTTAAAAATGATGAATAGGAGTTTCTTTTAATTGGTTGAGTAAGAATGTCTCAAGTATCTTTGTAGCCATTGTAGGTAACTAAGTCCCTGTACATCACATGAGCCTCTGCAGGATATTTGTATTGATGAATTGATTGGTTCATTTGTGATAATTCACACGATTACCAAAATACCAGCCTAAATTCGAGGAATAGTTTATAAGTAATATTGCCTTACAATTAGTTTAAAGAGCATGTGTACAATGTTAAAAAAATGTCTGTTGTATTAGAATATATAAAACATTTAATTTTCATTTTAAGTGTGACATTTAGGGCATTCATCACATCCACAACATTATACAACAAACTATAAAAAACATTTCTGATCCTTCAGTTCATAAGCGTGATGATTGGGTGTTCATGCTCTTGTGTGAGATGTTCCTCCCTCTAAACCTTGTTAGAATACAGGCATATTACAYGTTTGAAGTGGGAAAAAAAAAATTTCCATCCCACTCTGTAAGCAGTAACTCCCCATTCTCTCCTTTCTCCAGACCCTGGTTACCTCTAATCACTTTCTAGCTCTGAATTTACCTTTTCCAGATGTTTAATATAAGTAAAATCAGAAATACTTGTCCTTTTGAATCTGACTTGTTTCATTTAGGGCAATGTTTTCAAGGACCATCCACGTGGTAGCATGTGTCACTTTGATGTTTTTACCGCACTTTCTTAATATRATGCATTTCACTATATAATTTCATTTGTCTGTGAAAATGAACATGAAGGATCAATATGATAATGAACCCATTTCCAGGATTAAGAAAATTAGGATCAAGGAGATTAAATGCACAGACAGATCAGATTAATTTCTATGAAGCATGGATGATTTAGTGTGGATCTTCAGACTGCAAATGCAGTTCTCCTTTGCTTCTGCCATGTTTATCTTCTTGTTTCCTCTATACATTCCTTTTTTCCTGCCAATGTCTCGGCTTGGCACTGAATCACGAGCCACTCACAGCTTTGTAGATTCAAACAGCAATTCTTTATTCCCAAACTCACACCGGCCTCTACACGAACACGTTCTGCGGAAATCCCATTCTGAGGCCCCCTTCACCTACTCACGAGGCTTTTTTCCAAATCCCATTTGAATCTCACGAGAACTCAACGGGAACAAGCAGCACCCTAATCCCAGCAGCAATAATCTTCAACCTCCAACTTCCCTAAAACCCGTATTGTCTCAGACCGGGAACGACCTAAACTTGTCTTAAACAGGGAATGCCTTAAACTCAAGGAGCTGGAAACTTCCTCAAACCTGATCATCTCTAAACCCGGATCCGCCCTGGTCTTTGAGCAGGGTCACCTTACTAAAGCATACATGCAATGTCCCATCGAATGTCCTCTAAGCAACATGGGGTACGCTGGCAAGGAAATTTCAATGTGTCATTCCTACTTGGCAATGGCCCTCAGCATTTTCCTTTATCACTTATTTTCTGTTTGTACACTTAAAATTTGTGGGAGTGTTTCCTCTTGGATTTGAGATTTGTCCCAAGTTTCTGGTGGTGGTAATCTCAACATGCGACACATTTTTTTTGTTGTTGTTGTTGTTGTTGTTTTAGGAATGCTTAGTTAAAAAAGAGGCCAGTGTACATTTTGCTCATTTATTGTTAGCAAATCTGGTACAGAAGATCTGTACAAACACTTTGAAGTAAAGAGGCACCTGAACTGGTACCAGCACATAACTTTTAAAATGTTTTAAAAGAACATTGACGTTTTAACACAGCTCTACAATACTATATGCTTAAAGCACAAAATACTATATGCTTAAATTAAACACAGTGGGATTCTAAATCTGCTGGAGGAACTGCAAAAATTGCATTATTATTCTGTTAGAATAAGTAGAAAAAACAAATGCAATATACACTCATTMATAGGGCAAAATATCATTCTCTTATAATATCACCAGTGACTAACTGCATCATGGGGATAACTGCAAAGAGAAGGAAAACTCAGGGAAACAAAGGGAGCATAATCAGTGATTCCAGTTTCATATACTCTGCTTGTTCCCAGAGTTAAAGATGCCTTAAGCTTCCCTAGGTAAAGCCAGTGAAGCATCAGTAATTGCACATATTAACCCCCTACTTGGGTTTAAGAAGACTATGACTATGAAGGACACAGGGAAATCTATGAAGGAAAACTTTTGGAAATGCAGACAAGCCAAGAAGGAAAGGGGTGTAATAAAGAAATTACCTATGTGATACTCCATTCCTAATTGATGCAGTGAAGAGCAGAACTGGCATTGCAGAAAATGGATCAACGATACAGAAACTAGCACAGAGGAGAGAACAGAGTGATTGGAACAGTAAATGAGAACAACATAAACATGTCAGACAAAATGGATCTCAAAATTCAACTTAAAGTTTAGTATTGCTGGGAAGAAAGTAGAACCATCAAAATAGAAATTATAAAAATCTCATTACTGAATAAAACTGGAATGATTCTTAATTACAGAGTCTGAGAAATCTCACTTTATTTTGGCTAAAATCAAGGAAAGAAATCACATCAAGGTAAAATCAGATGAAAGCTTTTAAATATATCAACAAAGGAGGGTTGCCACAGTAAATGGAATAATAGACATAGAAAAGAAGAAATTCAGTCTGATTTTAGACAGGTTCTCTTCAACACCAATGGCTGTGAAGACTGAAACAATGACTCTATAAATTTGAGTGAGAATAGTCGTTGTGCTTTAGAATTAAAGACTCAATAAAAGGTATTTTATTTGCAATGCAAACAGAAGGAACTTTTCAGTAAGGTAAGACTAAGAATATGTTTTACTTAGGTAGTCTAGCTGAAAATGTTATTTGATATTATAATTTGGATGACTAAAGAAGAACCCAAACTGAAAAACCAAGAAAGGGGAAGACAAAGAGTAAGAACTGAGTGAATATCAAGTTAGCTAAAGTACAAATTTCTGAATCATTTCTTGAAACTTAGCTCCATAAGTAAATAAAAGTAAAAATTATTTTTATTTTAAAAGGAGCTTTATAATACAAAAACATTAATTTCATAAAAGTTTGGATCTAAAATTCATGATAAATTTGAGGGACAGGGGAGGGCGTGGGATGAGCAGTAGAACTTGGACAAACTTGTTCCTCAGATCATGTTTGTATCTGATTTTGTTCATTCAAGAAATACATGTCAAAACTGAAGAATTCAGAACTGATTAGGAATAGAAATAATTATTTATATTTTTCCAAAATTAAAAGGTAAATCTTATCTGTATAGTTAAACAATAGCAAATTACCATGAAAGATAAACACACACACACACACACACACACACACACACACACACACCCCTTCACTCACTCACTAGAAAATATTAGAACAAAGAGAAAGTAATCACAATTTGAGTAAGAAAGTAAGAAATAAATTCCCAAGGACAAGGAAACACGTCGAATAGTAACAGCAGTGATCTCTGGATAGTTTGCCTATTCATTTTTCTTTAAGTTTTAGTATTTTCAAAGTTTATTGAACAGCGTTCATTACACTTATAATTAGAAAACCTGATATGCATTACTTTACTTAGAATATGTTTGAAGGGGAACTTCAGAGATGAAGGAGAAAGCACAAATTGGGAAGAGCTTGACCTTTACAGGGACTTTGCCCCAAATCTGGCACATCTGGCATTGAGAAAACAGGAAAAACTGGCTCTGGCAGAAGCCACAAAGCTGCAGCTAGATCCAGATTGTGCAAGTATTGGTTGGATTGGTTGGGAGGCAATATTGAAGATTTCCATTTTGATGCTAAAGAGAAAGAAGGAAAGAAAGAAAGCCAGCCAATAAAATACAATGAAATGGCATAATGAACTTGGTATTTTAAAAGTCATTATTCCATTGTTTTTCTTTGACAGAGAAACCCTAGGTTTAATGCTGGGCATCTCTTCCTCAATCTTGTAGATGTGATGTGTTTTAGAAAGTAACCAGCAGTGTTCTAAAGATAATAATTGCTATCCTCCAAAGCCATGGGCCTCAGTAGATATGATTGTTAATGGAGGTAGCAAAGTGCGTGGGAGAACAGATGAATCCAGACATTTAAAAGATGAGACACTAAAAGTGTTTGTAAAATATTAGAAAGGATATGTTCTCTTTTTCTACAGTGTTTCCATTCTTTTGAACAACAAATTTCAATCTCATTATTTCCCTTCCTTACTCATAGCATTTAAAGATGTGACTATTTGCTCTAGTTAGGTAGACTACCTTGATATGACCCTATCCCTTGAACTAGTTTCTTTATYTCAAGGACAACCTTTTGGTGAATTCTCCATCTTCAGGTGGTAACTAGTGGGATGACTTAGAAAAGTGAAGTGAAATGAAATAAGAAATAAATTCATAGTTCTTCCGTCTTCTAGGCACCTCATTTTCTTTCTTTTTTGGTAGACCAAGGTACTGGGAATTGAACCCAGGGGCACTTTACCACTGAGCTACATCCCCAGTCCTTTTTACTTTATATTTCGAGACAGGGATTCACTAAGTTGCTGACAGTCTTCCTAAATTGCTCAGGCTGCCTCAAACTTGCTGACCTGCCTTAGCCTCCCTGGTTGCTGGGATTACAGACTTGATTTCATTCTGGAGTATTTGGGGTCCTGATGTCCTTTTCTCAGAGTTGGAGAATTTGTAAGATCAGAATGGATTCCTTTTATTTTTTAGAATTTTTTCTCCAATATTAAGGATTGAACCTAGGGCCTTTGCGCATGCTAGGCAAGAAGTCTACCACTGAGCCACGTTCCCAGCCAGTGGATAACTCTTATGTCTTATTCTTTTGTGTTTCCTTTTCTTTTCTGTTCCAGAAATGGAAAGGTCCATCTCATCTTTGTGGCTAAATAATAGAAAATTACCATCAAGGCCCTTTCCTAACTCTGCCAGCTTCACTACTCAGTATCAAGATGCAATCTGGGATCTCTAAATCAACCACACTTAGCTCCAGAGGATAGTGATCTCTGAAGCTTTTCTTTTTAATTCTCTCATATGTTTTGTTTTAGCTTAATGTGTTTGTCTGAATACTTGGACACCATGGTGATAGGCATCTTCAAAATAAATAGAAAGAGACATAGAAAAGAACTAAAAAATAAAATTAAATCTGGGAAGGCTAGAAATGACACTTGTATCTGAGAACTTTTTTTTCTTTCAGAAATCAGTGAGGGGGAAATTAAAAAGGGGAAATTTGTGTCAGTGAGTTAGTGAATAATTTTCTAACCGTTATTTTGCTGACACTGGACTATTGGAGCTCATTAGCATGCTGTGACTATTTAACTCTAAAAAATAGTGCTTTAGCTTCTGCTTTGCTGGATATTCTTTACATCTCAGCTCAGCTCAGTATTCAAATAGTGGCAAGACCATTAATATTAGGAAGTGTGACATGGTGTAAAGAGAAGAGTCAGAGTGAGAAAGACTAGAGTTTGAATTTTGTAACCATCTTTTATTGCTTATGTTAC